TCTTTAAATAAGAATACAAGACAAGAGAATTCATCAACTCGAGTAACATAAAAAATAGGTGTGTTTTATTTTTACAAAATGTGATCTTTATTTTAAGAATGTCTGAAATATATACATGTCTAAATTATATAGAATAAGATAGCGTTTGTCTCTCTACTGAACAATATAATTTTTATTGGACGTCTTCATTATCTTCAATATATATGTATTTGAGAAATTTCTGAGAAATTTTTGCGTAAACTTTTTTCACGTATAGTTTTTCGACTTTTCTTTAAAGAAATGTTAGTTGTGCAAAAATTGAAATTTCTACACATTTAAGACTGATGAATTTCTTTCATTTCAAGTGATTTTCATCGTTATTGAATTTTATTTTCATTGGAATATAGTGCTTCTCAGGATTTATCTAATTTTTGTCCAAAATGTATCAACTTGTACATAACAAACTATGAATGATGTGTATTCACTTATATTGTCATATTCATCGATATAGTAATGAATATATAAACAGCTATGAATTCATCACAAAATAGTCTCCTGATGATAGAGTATATCATATTTGTACTCTTTAAATTTTCAAGATTTATCGGTGAAAACAAAATTCATCATTATAAACATTTTGAATAAACAACTGTAATGTAAAAGTAATATTATTTCTAGATTTTTATACGAAACTGTGTATCAGACAAAGTATTAGTACAAAAAAGAGGCATTTTTCGTTTAGACATAATGAATGTTATTGCCTTTATATGTTCCACTTTTTTAATTGAATTATTAATGAGTATTTTGACATTGTAGAAATGAAAGTGGTAACTGTTTTTAGTTACCTAACAAAGTACTCTCTATGAAGTAATGTCATTTAATTAGAATGAAATGAAGTATTTTCTAAGAGAGACAATAATGATAGCAGTAGAGCATCTAATGAATGTCTTCATGTATTTCTCATTATATTTCTCTTGTATAAAAATTATTCGACAGATACAACAATTTCGTTTTGTTTTCAGTGTAGATATTTAATTTTTATAAAAATTCGATGTTGGTTTTTTATTAGAAAATGATTAAACTATAGTTGCTTGAGAAATTGTATATTTTGTTTTTATTCAGATCTCCCATCATACAGTTGTTGGTGTATTCTGTATTTCGATTATAGGTGTAGAGTGAGGCGTTACACTAAAAAAATAAAAAATAAAATATGCTGAATAACTTATTGGAATATTTTCTCGTTAAGGATAAATTCATATTCTGACGAATATTCGTTTTCTATGATTTTCTAAAGATAATTAATATTTTTATCGAGTATTTCTGAGATATAGAGTTTTATTGTCAGTTCATTGAAAAATATCTCAGAATTTTCATAAATAAAATTATGTTTAGATTAATTATTTGAGTCTATAAAAGAAATCTCAGTAGTAATAATAAATAAATTTATGAATCACATTTTTTTTTCTCATTAGACATATATACATGGTTTTTTGTTATGCTTGAAAGTATAAGTGAATCTATGAGACATAAAAGAGATTTAAAGAAAATTGCAAACCTCTTTCGAGTAAATGATATCGTCCTTATAATTTTTATGAGAAATTTCTACTAATAAAAAGACTTTTAATAAAAGATTTTTTGTAAAGTTAAACAACGAGTCTTTTGGTAAAATCCACAAATAGACGAATTCTTTATCAGTATTTCAGTGAATGTTGTTTTAATATTAACCTCTCTATATATCTTGTTGAGTCTGACACTACATTGTTGTTCTTCAACATGAATATAGACAATTTATTAGTAACAAAAAATCAGTTTGAATAAAAGATTCTAGTTGTTTTGCTTTTTACTTATGAAATGGGAACAATGTTTGACCTTTTTACTGTTAGAAAAGAATAATTGAGAAAGCTCGTTTACAGGAAAAAATACATTTCGATTAGAGATTTAAAACTTGTAATTTTTGTATAATTATGACCTGATAAATACTGTTGAAAGTTGCGCGTGTAAATTTTTTTTTTGAGAATGAATCGAATGAATCATTTATTGCTTTTGCTCCAAAGCAATCTTTTTATTTTTCTTCTTTATCTATATTTTGTTTTATTTAATATTTAATTGTAATACAGAAGATAACAGAGGAGTGTGAATCTGATGAGCTCTTCTTGTTAGCTCATACCTAAATGCTTTAAGAATTTAGTAGATGCGTTCATTGAATATTAAAAGATTTATCTCATTGAATTAGTTTTCTTTATTAGAATTTTTTTTCTTTTACTTTTCTACTAATATTTTTGTTTATCAATGAGAATTTTGATAAAAATTAATAGACGAATCAATTGGATACATTAAATTTGTATCAATTAATATTATACTGTTTTTACCATTTATATAAGCCGAATCAATAGTAAAAAAAAATAGAATTGATGATTACGAAGATGATATAAAAATTCAGTTATGTATTATAGAAAGTTTTTACGGAAGAATAATTTTAATTTAGACATATATATGTACTGATCTGTCATAAACTTCTCTTTTTGTATAGCTTCTATTGTACACATTTTTCTCTGACGAAAATCACACAGCACATTTAATAATAAAATTCAATACTGTTATTTTTGTTTTTTTTTCTACTGTATAACAATCATATTTTGATTTACGTAATCTAACATATGAACACAAACGATGTTGTTGAACATTAAAATCAAGTTCAACATGCTCTTGAAATAAGTGTTTATGGAGATTATTGATATTGAAGTGAGGAGCGTATTTATACGTTCAATCGTACTCACTCATTTTTCCTAAAAACACTCAACATTTTCATGGATCACATATTAATGTCATAAGTGTAGAGTTTTTGTGATGTAAGTGCTAGAATAATGCATCAAAGGTATGAGATTCCTTCGAAACACTTCGAAAAAGACAAATTTTCAAATGATAAATCAATTATAAAAATAGCTAAGAATTCATTTGAAAGGTTTTTGTTCCATAAAAGTCAAAAATAAATATATTGATACCTATTCTTATATGACATTGAAAATAATTCATCATTTTACATCATTGAAAAAACTATTTTTTGTTTCATCAAAATAGTTTCGTTATTGATCTGAATTAGATTTACTTCAATAAAAAATATAGTAATGTGTTGTAACTTTTTCAAATTCATATTACATATAGTTAGTTTCTGAAGAAATACCGATCAATTCCATCTTAATTTTCTACAATGAGAAAATATTTTTCGATTTTATCTTCTAATATTGTTTATTGAAACATTTTTGAATAGAAACAATAGGATATTCTCGATTGTTTCTTTGTGATCGATTTAGACACGTTAAATATATCAAATATACCACAAAGTAAGACAGAATACAAGTAGTAATGAGTAAATTATGAGCTAAGGTGTAGATTGTTGGTGTCTATGAGAACAAGCTCATCTACACGCATATCTTCATTATTCTGTTGTCTTAATTTTTGGTTTGAAGGATATTGACATACTAAACTTGCATTATAATCTTTACTGAGTAGAGTTCAAGAACAAATGACAACATCAATGCAATTTTAATCATACAACTTTCAGCACCACTCAAAACTTCTTTACAAATATAACTCTAAAAACTCTATCCAGACGTGATATTCATTCTCTCTGAGTTTTGTTTCATTTTAAGTGCTTCACTCTTTGTTAAACTAGTCGTTATCTTTATTGTCAATAGAAAGCAAAATAAAAAGCAATTCATTACAAAAAAACTTAATAAATAATATCATGCTTTGCTTTCTTTTTATGATATCTAAGAGTTTCTCTTATTCTCACCTTATATTACCATAAGTGTTTGTATACATAGAAACAGATCAATAGACATCATTGTTTGAAAATGTATGATGAATTTCTGTATTAGTAGGTTAATTTTTTAGTCAATTGAGAGTCTAATATCGTGCGAAGGCGATGAAAGTATAGGTAAAATGTTACTATTGATGTTCTTCTACTATTCTTGAGGTGTGGGTGTGGGTGTAAGTGAAGAGAAGATAAACACCCACACCCTTATTTAATAGGACTTGAGGAACTATTGATACTCCCTATATAATAGAACTTGTGGACCTATGAATATCCCCATAGAACACTTAAGGAGTCATAGATATCCAGCCTGTGATGCTCCTAAGGAATCCTGAAGATGGTATATGTAACTTTTCGTGATGATCAACTCATAGAGCTAAACTATTTGGAAAGGTTCAGTTCGTTGAAAAGAACTGTTCAAATAGTTCAGTTTGTGATAGTGAGCGTTTTGAACAGTTCATCAGTTCTGAACTTGTTTTAGGTAACAAAGATCGAACACAAGTTTTCTTCTAACGTTATATTGATTTTATTTAAAATTTCATTTAATATTAATATTCAAATAAACAAAATCTAATTGATCTTTTCTATCTCTGGTCGTTTTTTTTCTTCTCTCTTCTAAAATTAAGTTTAACACATAAGATATACTTTATGGAAGAGAGAAAAAAACATAAGATTATTTTCTTTCCTGCAAAGAATTGATTATTGAAGGGTTCTTTATTCTTTTTCGTCGTTTTGTTATATAATTATAATATTGAAAAAAAAGAGTGCGCATGACATCATTTAATAGAAAGAATTCTCTTATTGAAAGATTAGTAAATCAGACTTATTTATCTGATGATAATCAATCAAATTCCGAACAACGATCAAGTCTTGCAGTGTATTCTTGGATGAGATTTTCATTTTTTAATTTAAATAAAAAGACAACAACTTATTCTATATAAATTTTTTTTCAATATATATATATTTATTTTAATTAACATTTTAAATAATCGATTTATATAATAAGATGTTTCTCTTGTTTTTTTGTTATTATAATTGTAATTCTATTGAATATGGTTATATTATAATATTAATAGATTTATTTATATTAGAGATTCAAAAATAAAAATAAATCTCATTTATTATCTTTATTTATGTTTGATTTATTTCGATTTAATAAAATAGGTTTTTAATATTGAAATGAGGGGAAAAAAAACTGATAAATTATATTCGAAAGATATAAAATATTCAAAGAATTATTTTCAATAGAAATCGAAATAACTCGATCGATTTAATATATATTATACGAATGGAAGATATTTATTGAAATAAATCAAACTCTTAAATAAATAAATGAAATCTTATATTAATGTAATAAATCATTTCAATGGTTAGACTAATATTGATAGAAATAAGATTTTATTCACTTTAGTTATTTTAATTTAATTGACTTAACCCTTTGCTAGTGTTTTTTTTGTTAAAAATTTTTCTATAGTTTTATAATGAAATTATTTTATGTTATTATTGTTGAGTTAAGATAATAATTATATTTTATTGTTTTTCATTAAAAAAAATCTTTATTTAGAAATAAAATATCATTTGTTTTGAAGAGTATTCAAATTGTAAAAAAGAATTTTTCAAATTTAACAAAACGTTTTATATTATTAAAATAGATTTAAAGAATAGTTTTCATATTCGTGGAATTAAAAAAATCGAACTTTTATATTAAATCTTTATTGTTATTTTTTCAAAGCTAATTTAAATAGTTAACTATCTACTTGCATTTGGTCAAAAATTCGTTATTTATTATATAAATCGATTTCTAGATGAATCTATATTGATTATCTTATTATATATAAAGATTGACAACGAAAACTATTCATTATTTTAATAATCTATCCTAGAAACATTATTGATCTAAACAATTTTGACACAATTTATTTCTCTCTACTGAACGATCGCTAACAAATGATTAATATTTCATCCGAGTTGAACGTATTTTGTCGAAAATCTGCTTTTAATTGCTAGATAGAAACATTCTATAAGACGAAATAATGATAAAATAGTTCGAATTATCGATTAAAAATCTCTTAGGAAATAAATTTATTTGAATAGGATATTTATCGATATGGTTAAACAAAGAAATTCGAAAATAAAAAATGAAAATATTTTATTTCTTTATATTTATTAATATAGAAGTGATGATGTACCTGATTGTTACAATCAAGTTCGTTATATTCCAGATTCTTGTAAAGTATTGTGTAATCTTTGGAAAATAGATAAAGATTTTGTAAGTTAAATAATTAAATTAAAAAAACAAAAAAAGATAAAACAAACGTTTAGTTAAATAAAAGTATTGATAATGATGTATCAAAATCATTAAAAGAATTTCGTTTGAGTGATGTTGCACGTTGTTATCGTTCTCCATATAGAATAAATGGTGTTTTATCGATTTTAAATCAAACAATTGATGATTTAATTCGAATACATGATTTTATTGATTCAAAAAGAAAAGAATGGCTTGAACAATTTTAAAAAATTATTGAACAAGCTATAGATAAACAAGTATTTATTTATTTATTGATTTATTTTTAATATATGTCAACTGTTCGTCAAACTATGACTGAACTAAGAGATAACTATGAAAAAGCTCAACGAAAATTGGAAACAGCTGATGCCAATTTAAAAAAGTTTCTGTTTTTATTATTTAAAATAAAAAATGTTCTAATTATTTTGTTAAGATTTCATACACGATCTGATCGTTTAACATTAGCAAATTTTGATGAACGTTTACGTGAATTAGAAGATATTCGTTGTGAATATGAACAATCTCGAACATTATCACGTGATATACATGCAACTGAAACATATAAAATAGCTAGTGAAGAATATTCAATTACAATTAAACTTTTTTTTATCAATATTTATATGAAGAAAATCAATTTTATAATAATATATCTCGATATTTATCATCAAAAATGCCTAAAATTGAACAAAGATTAGAAAATGATGATTTAATTCCATTATTTGGTTATGATCTTATAAAACATTGTTCAAAAAGAAAAGATACATTAATTGCTTATCCAATTAAAATATGCATTCGTCTATTAGAAAATAGTTTAAATGAAGAAGGTCTTTTTCGTATTGCACTATCACAAGGAAAACAAAAAAAAACATTGTTGCTGAACTTAATTTACAAACAATTGATAGGGGAACAACATTAAATGAACTTAATTATGAACCACATGTCTCTGCAAGTATATTTAAACAATATTTAAGAGAACTTCCTGATCATTTACTTACAACTGCACTTTTACCACAATGGAATGAGATTATTTCACTCAGGTTAACATTTTTTTCTCTTTTTCTTATTCAATTATCCTAAACAAATTTATTTTCATTTATTGACCTCTAGTAAGGAACTGCCCCTTCTGCACTGTCGATGTTCTCTTTCTGTCCCGTGAGGCGTGGCAAGGAGTTAGCTCTGAAGTCTTTATTTATTTACATAAATGAAAACTTGTTTATTTTAATTAATTATTTTGATGAGTTTATGGAACCTTCCTTCATTTTATAAATTCATATTAATTATATCATGTTTGGGTATAAATTGTTGAGGATTATTTAGAAAACGTAAGAGAGCATTATAATGATTTCCTGTGAAATAAATACATAAACTCAATTTGTTCATATCGGATTTGTATCCAATATATTTAAGATGACCACCTACGGTTCCTTTATCGAATCGATCGATCAATTTTTGTAGACTGATATCAGATGGAACATAGTGTCCATTTGTTGAATCATTGTTGACTTTGACATGTGAATAAATAGGTTGACATAAGGCTATAGAAAGGGCTTGAAGTTGAACTTCTCCTCCCCTTTTTTTAACCATGGCAGTTCTTTTCATCTGTTCTTCAAATGGATAGTTCTATGTCTTACAAATTCTTTTAAAATGATCACTATTATTAATCATTGCATTGACTGCTAATAGCCTCATTGACTGTGCTAGTCTTTCAGAATCAATATTAAGTATCGAAAGAGAATTATATAAACAATTGCCATCTTCACACAGTGGGCAACCAGGCGGACATGATCGAAAGTTCTATTTTCCAAAGTTCAAATATTGGAATGAATACATCTATGATTAGTCTATCTTACCCTAAAACTAGATTTCCAGAAATCAAGTCAAACCCTGGAAAAGTTCATGGTCAAAAAATTTGTTCATAAATCGTTAATTATACGGAGAAGATTTTTTTTATTAACTTATTAAAATATTTTAAAATGAAAAACTATCTCAAACGAATGACTGACCCATAAGCTTCATTGTATGAAAAATTTATTTCCATCAAACAAGAAATGGAGTAGAAAAAAAGCGATTACTGGGCCAAAAGTAGGTGAAAAAATCAATCATACCGTATTTTGTGAATCCCCAAAAGGTTTTTAATCCAATTATTCTCCTATATATGATTTATTGTTGGCCATAGCGTTGTGTCGTACCAGTGAACAGAAACGATGCTAGTGGTTTCTTAAAAAACTAGGCTTCTGCCCCGAAATCGTTAGTTTTGCGAACATGGAGGTATTTTTATGCAAAAACAAAGTGATATTCGGAATCAGCTCGTCGAGCTGCATCGAATCATATATAACAGTAAATGTTTCTTGAGAAAAAAACTCGGTTCCTGTGTTCAACAAGGTTCTTAAAACCAGTCTTTTCATATTTTGTAAACCCCCAAAAGAATTTTCGTCCAATTGATCTCAAACTTTCACTAAGTACTCTTCCACATCTAGTTCATCGTTGACAATAGCGCCATTTCGCACTGATGAGCACAGTCGGTGCTATGGGTCTCCCAAAAACTGAGGTTTTTTGCCCCAAAATCTCTATTTTTGGAAACAAGGCATCATTTGTGTGCAAAATCAAGGTGATATTCGGAATCAGCTCGTTGATTTGGTCATTCCATACTTTGCTAATCCTATAAAGAGATTAAGTCCAATTGATCGGAAATTTTTACCGATTATTCTTCTATATGTGATATATCGTCGGCTTGGCACCATCTCGCGCTGAGGAATCCAGGCTATGCTAGAAGTTTTTCAGAAATCCAGGCTTCTGTCCCTGAATCCATATTTTCTTGATTCCGATAGCATTGTAGCGCAAAACGAATGTGATATTCGGAATCAGCGAGCAAAACTGCATCGAATGATGTATGACACAAGACATTCTCTACCAAAAAATTTTTTTCGAAAATTTCGGCAAGGCTCCCCCTCAGGTGTTTCACCCGAAAAATTTTTTTTTCAAAAAATACTTTATTTTCGTAAATTCGATTTTCTGAGTAATATACAAACACTTCTAAGTAACGGCAACCAGTTTCAGAACACAAAAGTTGCCCACTGTGGGCTGGTAGCAAGTCGTCTGTTGTGGGAGAAGTCGGACTTGGTGGGTTTTCCTCTTCCTCGGACATCACTTCTAGTACATCGATTATGAAAGCACTTTCTGCCGAATTTTCAGTCTCCCCCTCCACTTCTAGAGAATATTCACAATCCTGCTCATGATATAAGATCTGTTAAATACAATGCTTCTCAGTAACTGAAATATAGGACAAAAAGAATATTTGCAAAAACTGTACAGGATAAAATGTAAAATAAGATGTAGTTAATTTAATGGTAAAGCAAAACGTTTTATCAGCATTTTCAATTTTTTCAATAACAAAAACTTGCAATGAAAAAAATACAGTTTGAAATGGGAATGAAAAATACCAATCTGAAGAATGAATCTATTATTCAAGGAGATAGTTGAACTCAATTTTCTCATTGTTTAAAAGTAAGTTTTACATTCTGGATCATGTATGGCTGCTGAAATGAATATACTAACACAATGGGAAAACGATGATAAAAAGAATATTGTTATATGTATATTTAATCTTCATTATTAATATCGAATGATTGTGTTTTATTCAATATTCAAAAGTGTATTTCTCTTATCATCAATTTTTTGAGGCTTTTTATGACACGATTAAATGGTGTTTCGGATTTTTGAAAAAATTCAAATCGAATCAAAAAAAAGTTAAATTAACGTAAAAACCTTTTTATAAATCTAAATTATTTGTATCCATTCATTGTGATACAGATAGAATTTGAATTCGTATTAAATCAAAAGTATAAATACATAGTTGTTCGACGAAATTTTTCCTACTATTGTAAATGCTAAAAATCCAAATAGTATTTTGAGTAGAGAATTTTATTTTGTAACACGATCTCTCCATGATTAAAATGATTGCTACTTTTTCCAGAGATAGGATCTCTGAAAAACTCTTACAACAAGTTTTTCAGCTTCAAGAATCGGCAATTAAAATTCTGTTTGAGTTGGTCAGGATGATAGAACAAACGATTCTCTACAAAATGAAACGTCTTCCAGCTGCCTGCAATGTGTTTTTAGCCAAGATTTATCAACTTTACGAAAGGCACTAATGTCACTTTTTTTCCTGTTACTTGATATGAAAACATCATTTTTATGCCTTTCGTAAGATTAATATGCATCGATCAGAAAATGTCTTAGAAAGCTGAAAGACATTTCATTTTGTAGAGAATTGTTTGTTCTATAATGAGGTGTGGTTAGTGAATCGTCCGAAGATCCAAGATGGTTGTGCAAAGTTTCAAGTCAAAATTCAAATTTCTCAAGAGTAAAGGCTCAGGCGACCGAACTATCTTAAATTTTAACACTACTTCCCATAGCTTATCATTCGAGTAAAATCTCGATCAAAAAACGATTGGACACTTGGGAACATTCCTTGGTTAGTGAGAAAACCGTTACCGAATAATTTTAGGAAACACTATATAGATAAATTACGATCGTCACTGAAGTGAACTTACAAACCACATCCATATATTTACTTTTTATTAATTTAAAGAAAAAAAAAAGAAGTCTAATAAACATGATTTTTTCATTTCAATAAAATGATATGCTAAGTTAATTTAACAAATAATATATACACAGTCATATATGATGAAATTATTTTTATACTATTTTCTTGAACATTCATCGATATACACAAGTAGTTACACAGACAAAAAAGCAGATATGTATGAGACAGAAGATAAATGAAAAAAGAAAATTTTACTCAGAACATAAGTCTTCAGTTTGATAATTCGATAAATTTGAAGAACTACATAGTGGTCGAAGTATAACTGTTGTTGATGCTGGTAATTCTTCTGGAATAGATGTTATATCCATTGAATCATCTTGACTAGTATTTGCAATAGTTTTTTTAATACGTGTGCTGATTGATTTACTATCTTCTTTTTTAACAAGAATTGTTTCAACTAAATCAACATAAGACATTAATTCATTTGCTTCATCAGCTTCAAAACCCTTTGTAAAAAGAAAAAAAAAATCAATAAAAAAACAAAAAGAATTTCTTTTTTTTTTTTCAAAAACAAACTTTTTCAATAGTTTGTTCAACAAATTTTGTTAATAAATATCGAAGTTCATCAATATTTGTAACACAATCAACAATTAATTGTGGATCAGGTCCTTGTATTAATTCATTTGTTAGTTGTTCATCATCATCATCATCATCATAAGTCATTAGTACTTGTTGACACGATGAAATTTCTGAATTAAGGTATGCTATTGTACTTTCTAATTTTGTTATTGATTCACGTAATGGTTTACATGTTGAATCTTCACATTGTTGTATATTTGTTGTACTATTAATAATTGCATTACTTAATCGTTTACAATATCGTTCACGTTTACGACTCACACATTCGCGATTTTCAATTAATGTACTCATATCACGATTAATACCAGCAATAAGTTTTCGACGACGAATTGCATTTGTAATCTATGAATATTTTATATGAAATAAGAAGAAAGGAAAAAAAAATTTTTTTTTTTATCGAACATACGCCGTGTTGTATAGCAGTATAATGTGCACTCATCTCTTTTGTTGTTGTACGCACTCGTCCTGAACGCATTTGACGTCGTAATAAATGTACCTAGAAAATAAGATTTTATAAAACATGATTGTTTTTTTGCCCAAAACGATCAGCAAAGAGTAGATGACGATCATTCACCGGTATACTATTACCGCTCCATCCCTAGTCTGAAAAAATATATAGGGTGAAACTCATCGGGTCCAAATTTTTCAGATCCGAATCTGAGCTCAGGACTAATTCAATGGGCTCGAGCACTTCTTAGAATTAAACCTCTTTATCATCTCGATAGTCGGGA